GTGAAGGCAGCCAGAAAGACACAGAAAAATATTGGACAATTTCCCATATATGAGTAATATAAGGAAACAAAGTAGATGACCTGATAAAACAAAATCATTATAAACTAATGGAATGGATAACTGAACTGGTGTCTGAGGTTGAGAGTGGGTAGGGAGAAGGGCCAAGGGCGTATAAGAGAAGAAAGGATTGCTTTATAAAAAAAGATTTCAAATGCTGACTTATCTCTGGGATGTCTATGTGTTTGCTAACAGCTTTGGACTTCATTGTCTTTGCAAGGATACTCGAATCACAGCCACCTTGGAATCTAAGGAAAGTGCCTCCTTCCAGATTGGAGGACAAATTTGTTTCCTGACCAGGGTAATAAAGATAAAGCCTCCCCACTGGGGAAAGAAAATGCCCCCCCCTTGCTCCTTACAAAATGCAGGACAAGAGTCCCTCAGCTGGGACACAAACCTGCTGTGGGCAGGCATCCCCAGGGTCACCCAGCACTGCCCCTGGAGGATGGGGGCGGACAAGGAGAAATGGTAAGAACTTCTGTGCCCAGCAACAGTCCTGTACCTCTGACCCAGGAGTCTCCTGTCAGCAGCCAGCATCTCGTCAGCTGGAGCGGACTGACCTGTCAGCTCCCTATTAGCTGGGTCCACCTCAGCCCCTTGTAGTTTCAGACAACTTCCAGATGTTGCTACAAGTGAGTCTGATCAATTAGGAGTATCTAGTTTATGGGGGGGGGGGGGGAACAGAAGCTGCCACATCAAATTCCACATCTAAACATGCAACGACATAGATGCATCTCAAAACATGTATTGAGCTTGAAAGGTGCAAACACAAAGCCTGAGCACTACCTGAGGTAATAACGATGTGAGGTTCCACTCCAGTCAGAGGGAACATGCACAAAATCACAAAGTAGGTGCTTTCTTAGAAGAGGAGGTGGTGGGAATCTCATGGAACTGGCAGGCGGTTTTCTGGGGTCAGGGAATGCTCTGCATCTGAAGGGGCAGTGGGGCATAGTTACAAGGATGAACAAAATAGTCACAAGACATCAAACACTGTAGTTAAGAACTGTGCTGTTGTTATGCTCAACAGAAGGCATCACAAATTCGAAACATCTAAATGCTGAATATAATGCGGTCCCTGTTCGTTTCAGGATACAGTGATTCAAAAATACACTAGGACAACAATGGCCTTTTCACACAGGTACTTGGACACTGTCTTGGGGAGGCTGGTGGGGTAGATATTCGAGAGGCTGCTCTCTGGGGTAAGGCTGCTGGGTTTGCATCAGGCTCTTCCCATCATTAGCGGGTCACTTCTTTTGCCCCTTCAGGCCTGTGCCTCACCCTTTTTGACATCAGCATGAGGGAAGTTTCTGCCCACGGTCTTGAGGACTAAGTTGGGAGACAGAGGTAAACGCCTCTGGTCTGGTACACAGGAAGCGTTCTCGCGAGGAGTTGTTTTTATTGCTTACCTAGAGCAAAGATAATGCGAACACAGAATTCAAAATAATTCAGGATCTTCCTCTTAAAGTAGAACAATATGCTTTCTGAAATCTGGTAAATTTAATGTATATTCACTCATGGGAATATTAGGGAAATGTTCTCAAATCACTTAATTATAAATCTAATAAAGCAACAGACGCACATCACGGTTTTTCACATGATTTGATGCATGGAAAGAAAAAGGTCAAATAAATGCAACTTAGGCAAATGTCTCCAGTTCAGACAGATGTGTCTCGTTTACTTTCTGACAACTCTATTATTTGCATTTTTTTTACTTTTTTCCTGATGTGATGTCTGTGAAAGGTGAAAATCCAACTGAATACTAATTCTGACCTTGCCTGTAGAGTAAATTGATGACAAAACTTTTGAACGCCATGAGTAAAGGAAATATGTGAAAGGACAAAATGCAGAGTATGTAGGGACAGTGGGACGGGGGTGGGGTGGGGGGGCTCATGAGGAAGAGCACTCTGCCCAAGCCAGGAGCAACACGCCGTGCCGGGGCAGGGTAGAGGGTGGCTGACCAGACTTCAGGGCTCGGCCCATCAGCCCGCACTGTCTCCAGCACGACTGTCACTGGCCCGTCCTCTGTGTTCTTTACAATTACGCCCAAGTTAAAAGGAAAGATAGTTAGGAAAAAGAAAAAAAACAGTAAATAAGATGCAATTTTTCTGCCCCCTACAAATGTTACTGCATCACTAAAAATATTTTTCAACCTCCCTCAGCAGACAGCTCTCCTCCGGGCCGCCCGCCTGCAACCACGCAGGCCTCTCTCAGCAAACCTGTCCCTCCTGGGGCAGCTCTTTCTGCCCGCTGGTGTCTATGCAAGTGTCTTTTACTCTTTTGTCCCTCTCCCTAATAAACCTGTTCTTTAAATATTAAAAAAAAAAAAAAATTCTAGCACGGAGTATAGATATTAAAATCCATTAAAAGTATTTCCAAAATTTTATATTCATGATTCTATGTCTGAGCTGTTGGGAATTTTACGTTACTTGCGAGGTGAGTGGAAAATTTTTAAATAAAAAAATAGGTTCATGAAAAATGTAAATTCCTAGGAAGGAAGTCAAGCCATCTGATAAAAGAAGGGGGACAGAGGATATGGGGTTCCCATTTCCAATCTGCTCCACAAGCACAAAGCCAGGGCACCATGATGGCGGTGGGGGGTGAACAAGGAGACCAACTGAGCAGGCCTCCCAGCAAACAGGAACACAGCGCCGGGTGCAGACCAGCAGCACAACCGAAGAAGACACCGTTCAGACTTTGAAATAAGTGGCTGCTTCCAGAGAACAAAACAGCTACATTTGTTTTAGTCTTCAAGGCTTCTTATTTTCACATTTCTCCTTTTTTAAAATGCAATCGTTGACCACGTGCTCCACACAGGAAGTGACTAGAGAGCACAGTCCCTCCCAGCTACACGCGAAGAGGCAGCAGCACAGAAGAGGCTAGAGCTCACTGCTGTCAGCCACTGTAATTGTGCAGACAACAAAATGCTATAGGGAAAAAGGGCATTTTAATTACAACCACATTCATTTCTATCTAAAAAGCAGGTGCACACACTTACATATGTAAATTCCATGAAGTTCACACTTCCTTCTCTTTTCTTGCCAGACCTGAATAGTTAATCCGAAAACTTGCCTTTAATTGCACAACTTGACTCCCCCAGCTGAACAAAGCATGGAACAAAAACATCAACTATTGACAAAGACTCGCATAATATCATTAAAGAGGCCTTTTTGGCTCATCTTTACTATAAAGTATTTTTCCCATCCCTGAGGATTTTCAGATTTGAAGACAACAAAATTCTCTATCCCAGAGGAATTACCCCAGAACCGCCCGTTAAAATTCTAGTATAGAAAGGGCCTCCTCGGTGGCACAGCGGTTGAGCGCTGGGTTGCGAAGCTGCCCGCAGCCTCTGCAGCGCTGGTTCGATCCCCGGCTGCTCCAGGCCACCAGAGGAGGGTCCCACATGGCAGGCAGACCTTTCCTGCCGCCCGCTGCTCCCCTCAGCAGTGTCCTTCGGTCCTTCTGCCTGCTCTGCTCCCCGCTCTGGCTCTGGTGAATTCTCTCACCCTCCCGCGCTTCTGACTGTACCCAGTGCTTGTATAAATAAATAAATAAATCTTTAAAAAAAAAAAAAAAATTGGTATAGAAAAAGGAACTTGTCAAAGGCTTCCAATGGCTATTAAAAGCTCCCACAGCCTCCCAGATATGAGCAACCTGGAAAGAGTCAAGGTTTTACTCCATGTTTCAAGGGGGTGGGGGGTGTTATTATCAGCAAATGGTCAGGGCATCAGGGTCAACAGTAGTTGTTCAACAAACACCTGTGGTCAGAACCTTCCAGACTTTTCCTTTGTTCCCCAATTGAAACTGCCTACTAAGATAGATGGACTCTACCTCCCCTCTAGCCCCGTCACTGGTTCCTTTGGGACCTCACCACTCTCTGCTCTAGCTACTTTCTCCGGGGCATTCAGTCTTCCATCTTGCCTCTCTCAAAGCAAGTCTCCACACAGCAGCCGCCAAGGGAAAATGTGAGCGTCTCAGCACAGAACACAAGTTCTATTCCTGATGACTGATTCAGTTTTCATTCACTTCTCAGGACCCACAAGAGGGAGAACCTGTTTCCTCACCCTCCCTTGGGAAGGGGTTCCACTGCTCCAGAGACTGCTTACCCCAATGCAAGGGTCATTTTCCCTTGAATAGGGGACAGCAAACTCATTGGGAAATTGTTTTAGTTTTGGCAACTGACAGTTTGGACAATGATATGAAACCAACTGCTGAGGATTGAGGGTGGAGGTCACAGAGGTTCCACGAGGCAGGTGAAGGCACCCATGGAGCCACTTTGGCTCATTTTGGTTCACTGCCACTTCACTTGCTCTCTGAGATCCTGGTAAACATCTCTTGGATCAAGTTCCACTTATATTTGCATTCACAGCTCTCTGAGTTTGTCCTAATCCTTCTGGGTGGAAAACCGGGATGTGAGACACTCCAGATTTTTCACAGTGTGAAAACTGGGGTGTGAGAGACTCCAGATTTTTCTCCATGAGACTTGGTGGGCCATGAAACTTTTAATTGCACACTTTGTAATTCCACAACAAATTGTGGCCAACCCCATCTACACAGAAAGCACCTACAGGAGGTGCTTGCAAGTTTCAGGAAGTATGCACAGGCAATCAGAAGAGTTAGGTCTGGTGGAATTAGGGAGGATTATTTCAAGGCAAAATAACAGGCACCCCCCCAATCCAAAGAAAGCAAGATGACAGCCCTTAGGGAACTCACAAAGCATAAACCATGGTGGGAATTGGGAAAATACGAAGATAAAAAGTTCTGACTCTTTTGACCACAGGCACATCAAAATCTAAACAGGCACAGATCAGATTAGGGCATCTGCCCCCATAAGAAATTTTCTTGTGAAAGGAGTAGCAGATCTACTGGTAATGGGAATTTCCAAAGCCAAAGCCACAAAATTAGTGGGCACTGGTGAAGCATTTAAAAGCTGTTAGAGCACTTACCACCTGACTCTCAGACCCCCATCCTGGGAGAGGTTGGTCACAGAATGGGTTAGACTGAGACTAGGTCACCGCCAACCTCAAGAATAGTCTATGCACTGTAAAAAAACACAAAGCCCCCATTCTTCTTAGGTATTAAATTGACTCTGAGACACGCAAGGTTAAACAAAGAAATGGCATCCTTACATCTCCAAACATGGCACCTCCAGCACAGCTGCTTATATTTTGTCTAAGAACCATGGTCCCAGAAGCTGTCAATATCTACAAAAATGACAAACTCTTACTAAGGAACAGGATTACAATGACCTTATGGGCATCACCCCAATTAGACAAGATCATTCAATAACTATAAGGGCTCCCAAATCAAACAAGCAGAATGCGCCACTTATTTCAATTGGCATGCAGAAGCCTCCAAAGAGCTTCAAGATTCCAAAGTAGCTCCACTGAAAGATGGCAACGCTTGAAACTAGTAACAATTTAAGGACACTGGCAGTGCCCAAAACAAAAGACTAAAAGAAGGACAAGATCCCTACAACGCCCTTCTATCCTTTACCTGCGCACCCACAGTCTACTGATCCTGTCTCTGATATGCCTTCCCACTCTGCACGACTGTGAACCAAAGTCCCCCAAGTTAGTGGCCTTACTGAGGTTCCCATTTGGGCCTCGCTCAGGCTTGGCAGGATGCTCAGGGATTTTCTGTAAACGGCTACCAGTTACTTCCTTATGTCACCCAGGGGAAACTGAAATTAAATTTAATTTTTAAAAAAAACCGTGCCAAATTCTCTACCTTAACCACCATTCTCCCTGGAGCCTACAGATGAGATCCCAGGAAAATTGACAGGAGTCAGCGAAGGGGGTGTGAGCTCTTACCACAGTCAGCTCCCCTGGCTCTGTCTGCAGCGCCCAGGTGAGAGAGGAAAGTCAAGTTCCGTGGCTGGCCCTTCCTTCCTAAGGCAAGACCCCTTGCTTGCTGGTCGCCTCTTCCAGGAGAGCCAGCATCCTCTTGTTTGTCTCATTTTGTGTCCTGAGAACTCGGCTTAGCAACCATCAAGTTGGGGACTCCCCAAACAGGGCTGGACAGCAAGGTGGGGGGCATTCTTGAGGCTTGCTTCTGGGGGGGCACTAAATGTTTCTTTCTTTAGAAAGTCCTGGGATCTTCTGCAACTTCTTAAGAGGGTGCCCGTGACCAACAGGCTGCTCAGTGCCGCCAGGAATATTTACAATTTGTCACTGTTGACATCTGATGAGCTTTTACTTTCAACTATCAGGTTGGGGGTGGGGGGGGGCTTGATATCACTAGTTCACCCAATTCTTCTGAGTTTTCACAAGAACAGAAACGCGGCTCTAGAAGCCGTGCCAAGCCCCCCTTGCCCTTGGACCAACCCCAGAGCCTCCCCTGTTCTTCCACAGAGGCCACGGGGGTTGCAAAATCCTGGACTGAGGAAACAAAAGTCCTTCTGGGGACGGTGCTTCCTTCCCCGCGCCTTTGAGAAGGAGACGCTCTCGGCTGAGCGGCACCTCCGCCCCGCGAGCCTCAGGAAGGTCCTTCTCGCCACAGGCCACGAGAAAGCGGGGACCCGGCGTCGCGCTAAGGGCGGATCTCGGCGCCCCCGACGCGGGAGTCAGCGGCCTGACAAGTCCATTTAAAGACTGACAAGGGCGGGAGAGACGCGGGTGGCGGGAAAAGCTGAGAGTTGGGGTGATCTGAAAGTCACTGGGCCTCTAACGGGGGTGCTGGGGAGACCGGAGAGGATGCCGAGGCGTCCTGGGGCAGCTGGGGAAACTGAGGCCCGGGGGCCTGGGCAGCGAGAGGGGCAGCGCGGGCCCAGCTCGGATCCCCGGCCCGGACGCCCGCTCCCTTCGGGGGCCCCTGGGGGCGCAGCCGGGGGGCACCTGGGGGCGCGGCCGGGGGGCCCCTGGGGGCGCGGCCGGGGGCCCCTGGGGGCGCGGCCGGGGGGCCCCTGGGGGCGGGGCGCCCACTCCCCGGGAGCCCCGGGTCCCCGCGCGCGCGGAGCCGCCCGCACACGCGCTCCCGCCCGCGGGTCCTCGCGCCTGAGACGCCCGCGCCGCGGCTTCCGGGCCGCCGTGGTTTCCATGGCAACGCCAGCCCGCCCGCGCCCCTCCGGGCCGCCCCCGGGTCAGAGGTCATCTCTCTGGCAACGGAGACGGCCCGCGCTACGGCGGCTCCGACGGGCCGCCGCCGCCGCATTGCGCCGCAGAGCCCCCCGCGCGCCAGGCGGGAGCCCCGGGGGGCGGCCCCGAGGGCACGGGCGCCCTCGGGCTCGCGTGGGCGGACCCTGAACCCAGCGGCGGCCCGGTCACCCCGCGGCCGCCCCCGGACGCAGAGCTGGGCCGCCGCGGGACGGCCGAACCCCATTCCCGACGCGCTGCCCCCCGAAGGCGGGGCCCAGCCCCACACCCCGCCGGGGCCCACCCTCGCACCCTCGCACCCTGACCCCGGCCCTGACCCGACCCTGACCCTGACCCTGACGCCGGCCGCCCGCCCGAGCCACCCCGCCGGGCCCCCCACCTGCGCACTGGCCCCCACATCAGGAAGCCGAGTAGATCCGCGTCCTGTGGTTGGGGGGGCCGGGGGAGATCGAGTTGGCTTGTGGCTACTTAAAAACGGAAAAGAACTGCGAACGCGGGAGTGAGTGGGGGCCACCCCCTCCGGGGCGCCTGGAACTGGAGGCTGTGAGCGGTTGTTGGCTCAAGAGCCAAACTGTGCCACCAGGGAGGCCCCGGTCACCATCTTCAGTGGGAAGAGCTCACCGGCGAGAGCAGGGGCGGGTCCTGGACTGGCCTAGGAATGTCCTCCTTTTGGAAAAGAAAAGTTAAGATTGGAAAAGAATATCAAGGGGCGCCTGCAGAGAGAAGCTAATGGCCCTAACATCTGCTATTTCAAAGCTGAGAGAACAGAGGGGAAGAGGGATGGGCTCGGAGCGAGGGTCTTGCAAGGCCTTGAGTTTGGAGGTGTGCATGAGGGTGCGGTCAAATTGGGCCGATGAATGTGGTTTTAGGGAGCCCTGGGATGGCCCAGAAGGGACAAGAAGGCCACTGACAGCCTCTTCCTTTTTTTTTTTTTTTTTTTTTTTTTGGTTTCCTTTGGAAAACAAACTCTTGGGACTCTTGGGAAAGAATAAACGTTGAGTGAACTTAACCAAATAAAATTTATAATATGGCCGGACAGTCATAGTCCCCTGGTTAACTTCCTCAGAGATCCCTATTTTTCGCTGTTAACTCATTTAATAACAATCCACTGGAAATCTGCTCTATGTCGTAACCAGAGATTTTGTGAGTGGAAAGTAAGAAAGGTCACACTGCCCAACAATTGGGTGACTTTCTTAGATGGTGTTAGTAGATTAAATAAGCAAATATCTAACTATTCCCTTTAAAACATATCTCCATTAAGCCTCTTTTATGACTTCATGTTTAAGAAAGCCCTAAGAATATTTCCTTTGGACTTCTTCATCATCCTACTCTTTATGTTCTGACCAAAGCAGGAAATCAGTTCGTAACAACTAGAGAAATACACAGGAAAGGCATCAGGATTACTTGATCCAATAGCAAAAACACTAGTGTGTCTCTAGAGGCATATGGAGAAACTGAGAAATCTCCCTTAGAAAATTCACTGTCCCTCCATGCTCTCACTTCAACTCCTAACTAAATCAGGTACTTGGTACACAAACTAAAACCCTAAGGAACACCACATGGATAATGGCATGGAGTAGGTAGGTGTGTCAGGAGTTATTCCCCTGTCCCACACTCCCTTCCAGAGATGGCACTAAAGCTGAGTTCAAAGGTTTAATTAAGAATACAGGAATAAACAATATCTCCTAAAACTTAATAGAAGAGTTTTGAATACGCCATTAAATATCCCAACTGTTTCCCCTTAAGGCATAAGAAACTATTTTGAATAAATGCTTCCATTTTGAGCCATCTACATGGTATTTATAGAAAGCTTATGAGTCAATTGAGTGAGTTATGATGCCAAAATGTGCAAAGGAGTGAAAACTTTGGTTGTTGTCCTTGTTACCATATGTATAAAAACACTTCCCCAAAATTCCCAATGTTTGTGTTGCTAAAACATGGGAGACTGGATTTGAACATTTTTAAAGAAATGGTTCCGTGTGGGAAATGTGCAAAATAGTGTAGAATTAGCTTTAGCACCTTCTGAAAGCAATGCATCATTTGCACGAATGTTCTCAGTTACGGATGCTAAGATGAGAACAGGTTGGCTATGGGTGCCCAAGTCATCTTCACTGATAAAACCAAGTTTAGATGATCGTGCACTGGATTTCACACTTGTTAAGTTCGACATAAATTTCATAAATATATACATATCCACTCTCCCGACACAGCCACGCTTAGATGTCTATGTAAAATTCCATCCTGTGATTGGTTCTCATAGCGGCACTGCTTAGCCAAACTCATTTTGCTACTTCAGTAGCTAAAGCTTCCTGGATGCAGTCGGAGGCCAGCTTGTATGACATGGAATCTTCCCCTGAAGGCAAGTTAGAAGAACCCCACACCCATTTGTTGTTGCAGCCATGCAGTCTGAACCTGACGTGTCCATTGGATATTTGCTCAGTGTTGGGAAATGCAGAGGCTGTGGCCCACTAGTGGTTGACCCAGCTCTAAGGGAACCCAGGATGAGTCGGCAGACTGAGAAGGAGTGAAAAATGCTTACTCTTCTTTTTCTTTCCTCTCCCTGCTTTTTCACTCCAAAACGACTTGACAACCCTAAATGTAAAGCTTAAAAAGAATAGTGTAGGTTCAATGAGCAACCGGACCATTATTAACCAGGTGCTAAAGCAATTTAGTGAAAGGCAAAAGCAGACTGAAAGACACCGTAACGAGAAGGACATAGAAAGTGACAGTGAGTTCTACCCAGTCCTGCATGTTTCATCTCAGACTTCTATTGCAAAGAAGAAGGCTGAGCTCAAAAAAGGAAACACTCAAAGCCACGAGTTTGTGGGATTTTCTAAATGTGCTCTGCAGAACTAGGTCTAGGACATCTGCTTCCTAGTCCGCTTGTCATCAACACTGGTACTCTATACCATCATTTTTGATAATTCTTTATCTCAAATTCTGTACTTTCAAAATCTTGTCAAACCCCGAAATTCGAGGGTCTCATTGAGGTGTGTGGTTGAGTGGGTGTATCTATTTGAGGGTCTGTGATTTCCTCTGCTTTTTGTACATTCTGTCTAACAAGAGATATATCCATGACATGACCTTAGCATTTATCTTGACTATAGATTTTTTTGCTCAATCATATTTCTTGCCTTACCAGCATTGCTCAAAGTTCAGTGACCTAGATTATTTCCCAAACTGGCCTGTAATACACATTGATCAAACCAAACCATCATTACCAGTTTAAAGAATCGTATCAAGTCCTCCTCCAGGCAAAATAAATGCCTGAGACTTAGGAGCCTCTATTTAATGATTTGCCTAAAATACAGTCACCTTGCATGACTCACACAGTGAAAGTTGAAGCAGGTAACATTAATTCTAACAGATGCTATTACTGTTAGGAAAGTAGGGAAAAGTAGGACATTTAAGTGTGTGTGTGTGTTCATGTTCTCTGATAATAGCTGTACTGTTCTTACTGTGTTTTAATGAAAATTATAAATTTCCCTAATATCCAGAATTTCTAAACTATTGCCATTTATTTTGAAGAGTATATGTACCACACATATAATCTTCATGTCATTTTCAGGTTAAATTTTACATTAAGGGGGCCTCCCTGGTGGCGCAAGGGGTTAAACACAGCACTATGAAGCTATCCTCAGCCTCTGCAGCACGAGTTCAATCCCGGCCATCCAGGGA